GCTTTTCGTCTTGATTTCTTAGTGTCGTAACCTTTTGCTCAACTTATCTAATGAGCCCCTCTGTCATCGATTTTTTCCCCGTCTTTAAGCTCCTAGACTTTCCGTCCCTAGTCGCTCAGAAGTTGCGGCACCGACCCCCCCCCCCCCCCTCCCCCCTCCTAGTCGCTCAGAAGCTGCGGCACCGACCTTAGGAATGGATGAATAGAATGCTCCTTTGCCAGAATGCCACTTATGAAACGCATGATATAGGACCCATTTTTACTACAGTATTCTATTAAGGGTTGTTTGCTCTCGTCCCCCTCCTTTCAAGACTTATCCCGCCGCCCTGCATTTAACTTACTTTTTACCAACTGCATGTTTAGCATGCCGATGTACGTAGATCCCCAGCCATCTTCTTCAAGCTGCACTGGACACAAGCACTTTGTGTGGTAACTGACAACATCTTGTTTTATCATGTGCGATGAACGAAGACGTTTACGGCCAAATTCCAGAGGATCCTCTGGCACGAAGGCTCTGTCCTGTCCTCGTATATAACATTTGTTTCTCTGTATGCCTGCTTACGGTCCCCTCAGCATAGGTTCATGGAGTGCGAGATGGATATGTCATATGTGGTGGGCGTAATCCAGTATGTCAGGCAACACAAGGTTTTTATATGATTCTGGTGTTCCATGTAACTTTCGAAGCAATTGCCTCTATTGCGCGATATGGTTGAATATTTTAGGCGTTATCTAAAATGCACATGGTTTTATGCTTTTGTTACATTGTTTTTGGCAGGTAGCATTTCAAGCTTCCAAATTTATTTCCGCCTAAAATACTGCAACAAATCTTATCTCTTAAAAAGCACTCGAGGCATGAAACCTCTGGTGCAATATCGGCTACTCATGCGAATTCGAAATTCTGACAAACCTGTGCCCAGGCCCTATTTGGCACCTATTCTGTATAGGCAGATGCCTCACCAGTGACCCCAAAATACCCACCCGCCCTTGGAATTTCGATTTTCTTGGGGAAACGATGTTGAAATTGTAACGCTTCACCTTCAAGATCGGCGTTCTTCTTCTCACTGTCAATTAAAAATGTTCGTAAGAAGGTTGTTTATATTCGGCCACAAGGTAGTCCGACTAGCTCACGCTGTGTAAGCTACGCATGGTCGCGACCCTGGTCGTGGTCGGACCTCGTCTGAAGCTACGCGGCATGCGTCAGTCTATATACACCGCGGGGCCGCGGGGCGTTGGCGGGCGACCTCCGCTGCAGGGGGGGGGGGGGAGGGGGGAAGGGGGGACGGGAGCCTCAAAACGTTCTACTATGCGCAACTGTAGTGCATACGTGCTTACGTAACGAGGCAGCTGAAACGCCTTATGAAGCCCAGCAGTTAATCTGATGAAGTGAGCAGGCTCAGAGCAACAATGAAGGGACAGCAAGGTATAAATCGTGCCACCGAATAGCGAGCACAAACAGATAAATCGCGCGACCTCAAGGATCAACTACGAAGCAAACAAGTCGTTACAGCAGACAGCATTACAACATTATGCGTTACAAAATGGAAGAATGGCTTTAGGAAGTTAGGTAGACTTGTTTGCCGAATGACATAAATTAATCAAACAGACAATATTGTGCACCAGAAAGTGACAGCCGTAGGTGTGCACTTAGCATAGTAACCATGACATTAACGCGCCTCCAAAATGCCTCGCCCTGGTCAACGGTGTTACCTCCCAGTAAGCGTTCTTTAAGCATGCCCTGAGTCTGTCCTTTCCCACACGTTTTGAAGCGTTCCTACGCCTATGCTCTGATTGGTACTTGATCCGCACCAACGGACACGATTCCCGCTCTGATTCACAGCAGATGGTGGTCAGGAACGTCACTTATGTACTTCCTGGATGCCAAGCTCAAGGACTGCGCGACGGATTTTGAGTTGTGGGCAAGATTTTCCAGGTAGCCTGTTGGACAAAATAGGGCCCCGGCGTTGAGAGCCTCCTGGGAAAAATGGGGTTTCCTCATAAGAAGCCTAGGCAACATGAGGCCTCCTCATAGGGCGCCTCCATGGCAATAAGAAGTCTGGACAGTTAGAATTCCAGAATAGCTCTTGGTTAATACTGGGGGTTTGTTGATTCACCAAAGGGCCTTCCTATCCGACAACGGGTTTCCTTTGGGGTGGCCGGTGAGTCTATGGAATACCAGGCTTGAGTGATGTTGCTATGCTATCATGCATGCCTTAAGGACTTTGAAATAGTCTGCATGAAGCAGTCTGCACATTTTCGGGGGTGTTTACCTCAGAAACTAGGGGGTTTAGGTCTTAAGAATGACAGGGCCATGAACTCTACCGAATGATCTTCAAAATGGCTATTCCAGTTCAAAACTCCATGCAAATGTGCGACACTTCTTAAGGTGCATCAGTAGCAAAGTTATACTAGCGCATCGTGAGCTCAAGGTCAGAAAAATGGTCTAAGTTGCCGACGCGCTCCATAAGGCCACCCGAGCTCAGGGTTACCCAAGACTAAGTTCAAGAAGTTGATTTGAGAGCTTTGAGTGATTTGCGGCTTGGGATTGCTCCTGAAAATAGCCGTTTACGTGCTACCACTGTACCAGTTTATGCCGTAGGCATTAAAGGTGCGGCACAATGATTGAAAACATTAAATGTATTATTCGCCGATGTCAGTCTTATCAAACAAGCATACGGGGGATAACTTAAAACAATTGTCGTTGAGGTCGTGGAACACGCATGTAGCTACCACACTGGTTTTTTACTTTTTACCAAAGCACATAAGGCCTGTAATCGGACATCAGTGTGATATCAATATCCTTCTCAGCTTTTGATATTGATACCAAATCTTATTACAAGCATTATGCGTGCTCTCGCGTCTCGAGAGTGGATGCCGCTCGTCTCCCATATGCACAAGTGTGGCGTCGTGTATTTGTCGTGAAGTTGTCGGTGTATTTCCTACTTGCCTGTCAATTTGCACGAGCTGCTGCAACTTGTTTTTCTGTAAGCATTGTGTTCATGAACAGTGTTAGTTTTTGAAAACAGAACTGCGCTTCAACACCCAAACCCTTGTTTCCATCCTTTGCATCATCACCTCGCCAAAAGATATATCAATGGGTTAGGCCATGTATTTTTTCATTCGGCATAAGCGATATAAGCGACCTCTTTATCATCGGACAAGCACGTGGCAGAGAGGTCCACCAACTACATTTGGTCCACCGCTCAACGATTGGCGGCATCCTTGGAAACACGCGGGATCCACCGAACACAGGCAGCGACCTGTGTTCGCTACCTGTCGCCCATCCGGATCACATCATCAGTCGAGCTCAGTGCTTATTCAGGTAGGCGATGTTTTTGACGTCATTGACGATTTTCATCATGTCTCGAAGCGTGGACTCCACGCCATTGCTGACCTCCACTCTCCGTTGCGCTACAGTCTTGATGGTCATCACCAGCTGGTGCACGTCGGCCTCAAGGGCCGTCATCAGCGCGTCCGGCATCGGCAGAGATTTGGTCAGCGACGCCATGACATCGGCGAATTGGTGTTTCAGGGTGTTCAGCAGGCTGTGCACGTCCGTGGGTTCTGCTGCGGAAGGGTTAAGGCAGGTGTGTTGGCGATAGCTGGACAATCGTAGTGAATAATCCAATGCACAGCAGCATAGTCACAGCTATAGATAACAGACGTCATCCATTCATGATACTGGTCGGTTTGCGCCATTGTACCTAGGTTGGCGGGTCTGAGGCTCCTGGATCAAAAAAGGTTTTCGCTATCCGGATAGATCTAGGGAACATAACCACTTGCTTTTATTTATCGGAACTGAACTACTAATTGCTGGCAGTAGCGAGGTCTAATATAAGACTAGAAATGCTGCCATATTGGCACGAAACTGCGGCGAACTAAGCATGCTCATTGATCAACACAGGCGTGTCTTGTATGGGTGTATGAGACGAAAGGCGTTCACAGGACGCGAATTTTCACTTACCGATGCCCTTGACCAGACAGCTCTTTGTAAGAGCAGTTGAACCACCACTGACGCACGCAGTGAAAAATGCACTGTAACCGCGCAGGCTCCGGCCCGCTCCGCGTCAGTCCCGCAAGGTTCAATATTTGAAAACAGCAGATATGCGCGCACTCCACGGCTTCTTGTCTTAGGCAAACAATTAGCGTTGACGTTACAGTACCACTAAATCTGTCAGTCGATCCGAGTCAAGGTAAAAATTTCAAACATGCAAAAGTTTGGTTTATGACGACGAGACCGCTCTCTCCCATGCAGCGACTCTGCCACATAAAATATGGCTTCCTAACACACATATTGGCCATGAGACAATATCCTTTCTCTGTGCGATGGTAGAATGTGTTCAGCATGAATTCAAAGGAAAGACATCGGTACAATACTTGGGTCGCCATAAAGACCCTAAAATATAATTGTGTTATTACGACGCCATCATGTTGAGATACCTTTTCAAGTCTTGTCTACTATTTTCGGCAATTTTGGAAGCGGCTATTGCCTCTTGTAAACCGGCTAATGAAGAATTTCATTGGCTTCCGTTGTTTGCTATCAGCGTGCGAATTGTCTGATGCATCGAGGTACTCGGGTGGAATGAATTAGTAATTCGGTTATGGAAACCACTTTTCTCATCATGTGCGTTGCAGTTGCATCTTGACAAAATGGTAAGATTTAACAACGGTCACGAATATGAATGCTGCCGTGCGTCGTGGCTTAAGGCACAAGCCATTCCAGTTGGATGGGGAACCGGTGAGCATGTACTCGCTTAAAGGCAAATCATGGGTACACCTCAGCGTACAGCCCACGATATCGCATTTTTGTCAACGCCAAGCTTCCACTGGCGTCTGCAGCTTTGTGGTCCCGCCCCTCCCCGCCTACCGTCTTACTCACCGTTGCTGTGTACGGTGGGCAGGCCGAAGTCCTTGAGGATCTGCAGGATGTCCGTGAGGATGGCCTCCAGCCCGTGGTCGACGTCAATGTGGCCGTCGCCCAAGCTGCGGATGTCGTTGATGAGCGTGTGGAGATCGGCCTCGGTCGCCTTGATCCTGTCGTAGTCCATCCCGATGAAGGGTCCGACGATATCGAGCACAGCGTTCAGGCCGTCCTCAAGCCAGAAGAGCACTTCGTCCAGCGTAGTCGTGCCGTCCGTGCCTGGCGGCGAAAAAAGGTGAAAGCTTCCGCTTTTGGTCTCTGAGTATGTCAGCAGTGAGGTCACGTGAAAATCGTGTTTGGTGTTCGCCAACATATTTGTGCTGTGCGCTCGTATTTGAATTGCTGGTGTTTCATTTTTGAGTGAGCCTTAATTTCACAGGAAGAACATGATCCTGTTTCACCAGCGTCGTGAGCCACCACATTTTCCCGGTAGATGAACCCAGTATCCGGGCTCAGAACCAGTCTTGACGCGTAGAGAAGCCTTTGCATACAGCAATTAAGCACTCGTGTTCGACTTTGTAGGCAGAACAGCAAAGCCGACATTCGCCACCTACTCGGAATGGTGACGTCCACATCGAACTGCCTCCAGCACGTGCAGGATGTCAATGCAGATGTCAATGACGCCGTCCGCGATCTCAACGGTGCCGTGCTCCATGCCCTCGACGTCGACCACGAACTTGTCAAAGTTCTCCTTGATGGCCTTGGTTTGCTCGCGCGTCAAACCGGCCAGTGGTCCGATGATCGGCAGGTACCTGTCCACCAGGTCCTTCAGCTCGTCCAGAATCGTGTCGATGATGGACTTGGGAGCTGGGGAATAATACGCGAAGATACGCTGGAACGGACGTTTTTATTTTTGTCCGCGTTGGCGCCGTGCAACGCTTTTTGTGGTGTATATTTAAACCTGAGCCCTGAAATATGACGAGTTTAAAGCTAACTGAGGCATGCGGTCGTCGAGGATTTTTTTAGCCTTGAGCGTTGGGCATGTTGTCAGTCATGGTCGTTGAGTGCAATTTTTGCGAATATCTTCTTTTTACTAATTTCACGGAATGAGACCGGCAAGTGGCCTGATGATTTAATGATATAAACCTTATGATATGAAATATACACCTTGATGTGGGAGAAAATGCATAAATGCTTAATAGACCCTCAGCAGTGCTTGTGATTGAGAAAAGTACGCTGCCGCTCTCCGTCTTTGGGGCTTTACGATGCACTCAGCTGCTGAGGCTCTAAGCCGTTGCCTGTCTATCATCCTGGCAGAAGGGCAGGCACCGCGGGAAATCAAACCCCACACCTTTGATTTCCCCACATGCGCGCGCCGCTTAGCCACTTGACCTTCGCTCAATGCGGCACTCGGTGTGTTGCCACAAACCATCTTTGGCCCAAAGTGGTTGATCATCAGTAACCTCTGCCAAACTTAATGTAAACATGCATTTTGTTGAACAGAGGTGGCATCGGAACACGCCAATAAAAATAAATGTTAAAGTACATTGAGCAGAACAGGTACGATGTTAAGGTATATTTAGCACGATTGTGTAAATTGGTCCTAGGGATTTGACTTAGGTCCGAGTGGTTTGACTTAGGTTCTAGTGGTTTGACCTAGGTTCTAGTGGTTTGACTAAGGTTCTAATGGTTTGACATAGGTCCTAGTGGTTGACTTAGTGGTTATTGTGCAGGCTTTCATGATCAATCGTTTCAATGGCATTCACACTGAAAGCTTACTAGTAGTCTGGCCCATTTCGTTCAAAGAAACGGGAGCCCCGAGATCTTTGAGGATGTTGAGGATATCCGTCAAGATCTTCTCCATCCCGCCGTCTACGTCCAGGTGTCCATGCTCGACGTCCTCAAAGTCCTTGATAAGGCTGTCGATGTCGTCCTCGGCCGCCTTGATCTGGTTCTCGGTTAGGCCCAGAATGGGTCCCAGGATGTCGAGTGCAGCACCAAGGCCAGCCTCTAGCTGCGCCAGCAGCGCGTCCATGTCGGTCGGGGTGTCGTCGGCTGGAATGCAAGGAGTTCTTCTCGAGCTCGCGACATCTAAAGCCGGCGGGCTCCACTGAAGGGCCGCAGCCTGCTATGGGTAGCAGCATCCCGCTAATCGTTTACAATGTACACCGATCATCCCGAACAATCCAAGGGGCTTAATGCTTCTGCGTAAGCCGTTTCCAATTGACCTCTTTCGGTTACTCACTCGGGTTCATGTAGTCCAGCCCGAATGCCTTGAAGATCTCCAGCATGTCGGTGACGATGCCTTCCAGTCCGGTGGAAATGTCTACGGTGCCGTGCTCCAAAGCCTCGGCGTCAGCCACAAACTTGTCAAAGTTTGTGGTGATAGCATCAGTCTGCTCCTGCTTCAGGCCGAGGATGGGTCCGAGCACCGGGAGATACTTGTCGACCAGTGCCTTCAGCTCGTCCAGAACCTCGTCCAGCGGCGACGGCTCGGTGGCTAAAAAAAATAGCCGACATTTGTGTTGCCGCACTAGTGTTGCCGACATAGCGCGTCTGTTGTTAGACTCTTGGAACATCTTTGTATGCTTAAAATGCTCCCCATGCATAACCCTACATATTTTTCACTTGAAATATCGAATAAATCCAAAAGAATTCCGTTCACTTCTCTCGTAAGATTACAAGTGTACACATTTCTAAACGCATTACGTTATGTGAACCATACTTCACGGAGAACACAATAAGAGCGACTAGCATGCACATCGGGACACTTTCCAGCTTCACAATCCAGTTAGACTTGCTTTAGGCGGCCGCCACCTGAGCGGCAGCTGAGCGGAGCTGCACTCCCTTTCGCCACTCCATCAGCCGGGCGCGTAAGTCTGTCCGAGATTACCGTCATTTGCTTTTGAGTTATCCCCACAAGAAGAATATAGGAGGTCTTCAGCCTGCGTAATGAACCATCTAGGGTCATGGGCCTTCTGGTTGGTGAAGTGCCCCCCAAAATGCTGTCTCATTCACTCCAGTACCATGTTGGGCGTGTGGTCTATCTTACCGGAGGCACATGTTATTCTGAGAAGCCCCATAATATTTGTAGATGCTGTTCTAAAAGCGATCAAGTGTCTTGCCTTTATGTACCTCATCGGCGGTGACGTTGGGATCACCGCAGTTATGGAACCAAAAGGATCCGATTATCCGCCTTGAGCTGAAGGCGTGCCCAGCAACAGCTGCATTGGGGTGCACATATTTTTCTGCCACTGTTCCTGAAGCGGTGCTTGTCCAGATTCTGCAATATTGGGTGTTCACACCTCCATCTCGCCGAAGTGCACTTACGACAGAACCAGCTTGCAAAGACAACTTTTCAGCTGTGTCGTCCTCAAAAAGAGTGTAGTGGGCCGATATGCCATGCGGTGTTAGGCCAATGTCTTGTCGGAGAATTCTGTCCATTGTGCTGAAGCTTTTGTATACCATAGGAATGCTATTCCACGCAACTTCAGGCGGGCTCCGAACACAACGGCCTCGGCCCTTCCCAGGCCTCCTGCAGAGCGTGCCGCACGTTTTCGACCACTACGCCCTTGGCTGATGTTTTCAACGCCTCCCTCAGCGAGAAGTTGTCTCAGAAAGTCTTCTGATAGCCTTGAGATCTAGTACGTATCGGGCGTTGAAATTGGATCGGAAAGTGCGTTGATCCGCTGGTATAGATCTGTTTTGCAATCAAGTGGTACTACTTCAGCTTTTGCTCCTTGTTCAGTGACTGCATTTCCAGGACAGAGCAGCATCATGTTACGCCATGTCTCGAGAAAAAACCCAACACTGAACATAATCCTGTTAGGTTTGGCATTGGCCTGTCCGACACAATGCATCAAATAATGATTTCCTTTGATACTCTAAAACGTGTGAATTCAGGTGGCATAGTGAAGTGCGCTAAATTAATTTTACAATAAGCCCTCAAAAATGTTTAAAGACGTTTCAAAGATGTCGTTTTGCATTAATGTGTTTAAACTTGAAAGATGGTGATCGCATCCATCTTCAGCTGTGCGATGGCCAGCGTTGCGTTGCTTGCACGTTGTAATTGGTTCAAACGAACTTAATGAATGTCTGCTGACCAGCCGTGACGTGTTTGCTGCTTCGTTCCATTGGGTGAGTACCACTACTTGAGTTTGTTTTCACGCGTAACATACGCTGCACGTTGTCTATTCCGAACACTCACTAACTTCTCTAGCGTGGATCGAGCGAAGGCAAGGGCTTAGCCATGGGCCAAAATGAAGCGGCGAGGGCATCATGTTGCTTACTTCTGTATTTACCCTTCAGTATTCTGTCGGTCGCTGCGGGTTCCGACGAAAAAAGCGGTCACCTTGAGTTTGTTTTCTTGAAATGAAAACTTCGCATCGAAATGTTGGACAACAATCCCTGGTGAATTAAGACGAAATCCTGTGCATGCAGTTGTTTTCTTTTTTAGCGAAGTCGAAGCTTGGGGCGAGGAAAATCTTACTGACTTCTTCATCCTGGCCCAAATCAATAGATCACGTGGCCAGTGTATCGTTGCCTTGGCCTGTCCCGCACTCAAGGCGGACCCAACCGGGCCTAAACAGTCGCGTAACGATATAAAGTGTATTGTTTGTAAATACTGGCGGCGTCAGCGTCAGCAGCGACGCTGTTATCACACGCGCCCATGTTCCTCGCTGTCGTCATCCTTGCTGCTCTCTCCACATCCAGACCAAGTCACCAGCAGCACCAGATTCAGCCACCCGAGTTAGTGCTGTGACTAGGCGACTGCAAGTAGCCCCTTGAAGTCTTTTGCGATCCTCACAATATCCTGAGCCACCGCCAACAGCCCGGGGAGCAGCGCGGTCGTCTTGTGTTCCACGGCCTCCACGTCGACCACCAAATGGTGGACGTCATTCTCGGTGGCGACCACGGCCGCGTCCTCTAGCGGAAGCACCTGACTGAGCGCGTTCAGGGCCGAATCGAGCGTGTGCTCCACGGCCTCCAGCAGGCCGTCCAAGTTCTGCTTGCTACCTGGAGTCATGCGCCACAGTCGAGTACGGCAGTGTTTGGTTACACTTTCCAAGACGATTTCCGCTTGGGAAACGTCAGACAAATCTTGCTTGCACCGTCACAAAGAGCGCTCAAATCTTTCAGCGAAATCTGAGTGGTCAGGTTTGGAATCCAATGCTTTTTGTAGGTAAGTGTGGGTGTTACACGACAGGCAGGCGGGCTATATCGCCACGGCAGGCGCTACACGACAGGATGTTTTTTTAGCTACCTCGAACATTCTAAAAGAACGCAAGCCCCACTTTCTTTCGGTAATGCAGGCAATAAACACTGACCAGAGAGCAAACACACTACAAGAAAAGTTGACAACTCATCAAATTTCAATTAAGAGACGTTTGCTAGTATACGAAGCAGCACCTTTGGCTATAAAGCACAGGTTATCCGTATTTTACGGGAAAACATTCATAGTTAGCTGTGCACTTGTTTTTATCCCATTATTCCGGAAACTGTCAAACTTTAAACACACTTGACGATGTGTACACCTAGAAATTCAAGCAGCTCAAACCTGTGTGTTAGGAGAAGACTTGATACAACTCACTGGTGGCCTCAGATGCCTCCTGAGGAAAGATGGGAGCTCCGCAGTCCTTCAGAATGTTGAGCACGTCCGTCAGGATCTTCTCCAGCGCAGTGTCGATGTCGGTGTGCCCGTGCTCGGCCGACTCGATGTCCTTGATGAGCGTGTCAATGTCAGCCTCTGCAGCCTTGATCTGGTCATCAGTCAGACCCAGCACCGGCCCCAGGGACTCGAGCCCCTTGGTTAGAAGACTCTCCAGCTGGGTCAGCAGGCCGTCCAGATCGGTCGGTGTGTCGTCAGCTGTGGACAAGGAGCGTGGAGCTGATGCATTGGTACCCTAAATGGAACTCAGCAATGGATACATGAGCTAAGCATCCAGTTTGTAGGTGCTGTCTCAAAACTACGCATTTACATACTATTGGTGATTTTAAGGCTCGTGGTTACTACTTTTTTCGTCATCACTGAACTGCTGACATGAACGCTATGAGCAGACATGACCAACGGTCATGCACTACTCACTGGGATTGGTAGTATCGATGCCCAGGGCTCTCAGGATCTCGATGATGTCGGTGACCATGTTCTCGAGTCCGGTGGAGATGTCAACAGTGCCGTGATTTAGAGCCTCGCAATCGGCCACAAACTTGTCAAAGTTGGAGATGACGGCATTGACCTGATCCTCTGTCAGACCGATGATCGGTCCCAGGATCGGCAGGTACTTGTCCACGAGGGCTTTCAACTCTTCCAGAAGCTTTTCAACGGGACTCGGCTCAGCTGCAACGCATGATGTGGTGCGTGAAATCAGTACCCAATTTGTACCAAGGCTCTTGAGTTTACACCAGTCTACGTTTTGCATGAGCAATGTCCGACTTGCCGCTCGGCAAACACTGTTGTAATTATCTCTGCCCAAGAGCAGACGACGAGAGTGCACGCATGACGGAGGAAAAAAAGCATGACCTCTGTTGTGCTCCAAAAAATGTAATCACTTAAAGTGCTGCCGCAGCACCTCATTAATCTGCATTGCAGAGTCAATTTGTTGCTGCATGCTTTGCGCCACACCGAATTAAATTTGCCATTGTTATTCTTGCGCAGTTACAGAATCGTTTCTTATCAGCATGTATCCCTACTTGAACCAAAGCTCGAAGGCCAAGGATACAATCACAACGCTACTTGATCCGATATCACTGATAGCTACCATATCAATCATCCATCTTGGGAGATGTAAGCAACGCGCTATTAAGTACATGCGGGGTGCACGTCGTCGAAAAATTAATAACATTCATGCATATCAGCTAAAATGGCCCAAAAATGCGTCGTTTTACATGCCGGCGAGTGCGCACTTGAATCAATTTTTGTATACAAACGTGTAGATTGCCGACCAATCAGTTTTACGAACGCCCACTTCCTGGCGCTAGCATCCACACTCAACCAGCAATGATCTTTCGCTGAGCTGGTCGGGCCCACAGAGAATGACCGGCATGAGCTGCGCAATAATTTCATGAAAATGATTGTTTCTGCAAGGTGGCTTGAGCTCTAAATGCATGCGAAAAGGCGCTTAACCATATTTATCCCAAGTTGTGTGCTGGGTATGTAGTGTTCAGTGTAATGCTAACATTAGCTATGCCTACTTACTGTGTTTTGTTCAAAACCTGCTGTACTGACTAACATGGGAATAGAGCAGCTCGTTTTTCTGATGACTCTTTTCGTGTGATTGCCTTTTAACCAGAGGATCAGAAACTTTTTCATTCCTCTTTTTCTGATCTTACCACACAGGTAGCTGGTAAAATATTCCTGGAGTTGTAACCACGGGTGACTGTTATAAAAATGGAGTCAGGAAAACCCTTGCCGTGAAATCCTCATGTGTGTGCGGGACGAACTGAAAACATTTCTCCCGACATACCATTACTACGGGCTTTAAGTGGGAGAGCTGTCATTCTTTACATATGATTGCAGCTCATATGACTGCCGGTCGTCAGTCACGTAATCCAAGTAAGTGAGGAGGCATACATTATGTGAAATCTAGTAATGAAGTTTGCTGATCGTTGTAATGTTTTGCACAATAACGTACTTTGCAGCAATCAGCTCTCATACACCATTTGCTGCTGACGTACTGGTGGCCATAGAAACCGTCCTGGGTAGGATGGGAGCTCCGCAGTCCTTCAGAATTTTGAGCACGTCCGTCAGGATCTTCTCCAGCGCAGTGTCGATGTCGGTGTGTCCGTGCTCGGCCGACTCGATGTCCTTGATGAGCGTGTCAATGTCAGCCTCTGCAGCCTTGATCTGGTCATCAGTCAGACCCAGCACCGGCCCCAGGGACTCGAGACCCTTGCTTAGAAGACTCTCCAGCTGAGTCAGCAGGCCGTCAAGATCGGTCGGTGTGTCGTCCGCTGTGGACAAGGAGAGTGTAGCTGTTGCATTGGTTCCCTAAATGGAACTCAGCAATGGATACATGAGCTAAGCATCCAGTTTGTAGGTGCTGTCTCAAAACTACGCAATCGCATACGAATGGTGATTTTAAAGCTCGTGCTACCACTTTCTTCGTCATCACTGAACTGCTGACATGAACGCTATGAGCAGACATGACCAACGGTCATTCACTACTCACTGGGATTGGTAGTATCGATGCCCAGGGCTCTCAGGATCTCGATGATGTCGGTGACCATGTTCTCGAGTCCGGTGGAGATGTCAACGGTGCCGTGATTTAGAGCCTCGCAATCGGCCACAAACTTGTCAAAGTTGGAGATGACGGCATTGACCTGATCCTCTGTCAGACCGATGATCGGTCCCAGGATCGGCAGGTACTTGTTCACGAGGGCTTTCAACTCCTCCAGAAGCTTTTCAACGGGGCTCGGCTCAGCTGCAACGCATGATATGGTGCGTGAAATCAGTACCCAATTTGTATCAAGGCTCTTGAGTTTACACCAGTCTACGTTTTGCATGAGCAATGTCCGACTTGCCGCTCGGCAAACACTGTTGTAATTATCTCTGCCCAAGAGCAGACGACGAGAGTGCACGCATGACGGAGGAAAAAAAACATGACCTCTGTTGTGCTCCAAAAAATGTAATCCCTTGAAGTGCTGCTGCAGCACCTCATTAATGTGTATTGCAGAGTCGATCTGTTGCTGCATGCCTTGTGCCATGCTGGAGGGAATTTGCCATTGTCATTGTTGCGCAAACAGTTACAGAACCGTTTCTTATCAGCATGTATCCTTACTTGAACTGAAGCTGGAACGCCAAGGATACAATCACAACGCTACTTGATTCGATGTCAGTGATAGCTACCAGATCTTTCATCCATCTTGGGAGAGGTAAGCAATGCGCTATTTAGTACATGCGGGGTGCACGTCGTCGAAAAATTAATAGCATACATGCATATCAGCTAAAATGGCCCTATAATGCGTCGTTATACATGCCGGCGAGTGCGCACTTGAATCAATTTTTATATACACACGTGTAGATTGCTTGCCAATCAGTTTTAGGAATGCCCACTTCCTGGCGCTAGCATCCACACTCAACCAGCAATAGCCTTTCGCTGAGCTGGTCGGGCCCACAGAGAATGACCAGCATGAGCAACGCGTTAATTTGATGAAAATGATTGATTCTGCAAGGTGGCTTGAGCTCTAAATGCATGCGAAAAGGCGCTTAGCCATATTTATCCCACGTTGTGCACTGGGAATGTAGTGTCCAGTGTAGTGCTGACAGTAGCTATGCCTACTTACTCCGTTTGGTTTAACACCTGCTGGGTTGACTAACATGGCAACAAAACAGCACGTTTTGCTGATGACTCTGTTCGTCCGATCACTTTTTAACCAGAGAATCAGAAATTTGTTCATTCCCCGTTCTTGTGATGGTACCATGCAGGTTACTGGTAAGATACTCCTAGGCGTGCAACCACAGGTGACTGTTATAAAAATGGCGTCAGGAAAACCCTTACAGTGAAATCCTCATGTGTGTGCGGGCTGAAATGAAAGGATTTCTCCTGACGCACCATTACTTCGGGTTTTAGGTGGGAGAGCTGTCGTTCTGAACATACATTTGCAGTCCATATGACTGCCGGTCGTCGGTTATATAATCCAAGTAAGTGACGAGGCATACATTACGTGAAATCCAGTAATGAAGTTTGCTGACAGTTGTAATGTTTTGCACAATAACGTACTTTGCAGCAATCAGTTCTCATACACCAATTGCTGCTGACGTACTGGTGGCCATAGAAACCGTCCTGGGTAGGATGGGAGCTCCGCAGTCCTTCAGAATGTTGAGCACGTCCGTCAGGATCTTCTCCAGCGCAGTGTCGATGTCGGTGTGTCCGTGCTCGGCCGACTCGATGTCCTTGATGAGCGTGTCAATGTCAGCCTCAGCAGCCTTGATCTGGTCATCAGTCAGACCCAGCACCGGCCCCAGGGACTCGAGCCCCTTGCTTAGAAGACTCTCCAGCTGGGTCAGCAGGCCGTCCAGATCGGTCGGTGTGTCGTCCGCTGTGGACAAGGAGCGTGGAGCTGATGCATTGGTTCCCTAAATGGAACTCAGCAATGGATACATGAGCTAAGCATCCAGTTTGTAGGTGCTGTCTCAAAACTACGCATTTACATAATATTGGTGATTTTAAGGCTCGTGGATACTACTTTTTTCGTCATCACTGAACTGCTGACATGAACGCTATGAGCAGACATGACCAACGGTCATTCACTACTCACTGGGATTGGTAGTATCGATGCCCAGGGCTCTCAGGATCTCGATGATGTCGGTGACCATGTTCTCGAGTCCAGTGGAGATGTCGACGGTGCCGTGATTTAGAGCCTCGCAATCGGCCACAAACTTGTCAAAGTTGGAGATGACGGCATTGACCTGATCCTCTGTCAGACCGATGATCGGTCCCAGGATCGGCAGGTACTTGTCCACGAGGGCTTTCAACTCCTCCAGAAGCTTTTCAACGGGGCTCGGCTCAGCTGCAACGCATGATATGGTGCGTGAAATCAGTACCCAATTTGTACCAAGGCTCTTGAGTTTACATCAGTCTACGTTTTGCATGAGCAATGTCCGACTTGCCGCTCGGCAAACACTGTTGTAATTATCTCTGCCCAAGAGCAGACGACGGGAGTGCACGCATGACGGAGGAAAAACAACATGACCTCTGTTGTGCTCCAAAAAATGTAATCCCTTAAAGTGCTGCCGCAGCACCTCATTAATGTGTATTGCAGAGTCGATCGGTTGCTGCATGCTTTGTGCCATACCGAAGTAAATTTGCCAGTGTCATTTTTGCGCAAACAGTTACAGAACCGTTTCTTATCAGCATGTATCCCTACTTGAACCGAAGCTCGAAGGCCAAGGATACAATCACAACGCTACTTGATCCGATGTCACTGATAGCTACCAGATCAGTCATCCATCTTGGGAGACGTAAGTAATGCGCAATTTACTACATGCGGGGTGCACGTCGTCGAAAAATTAATAACATTCATGCATATCAGCTAAAATGGCCCAATAATGCGTCGTTATACATGCCGGCGAGTGCGCACTTGAATCAATTTTTGTATACACACGTGTAGATTGCCTACCAATCAGTTTTACGAACGCCCACTTCCTGGCGCTAGCATCCACACTCAACCAGCAATAACCTTTCGCTGAGCTGGTCGGGCCCACAGAGAATGACCGGCATGAGCTGCGCATTAATTTCATGAAAATGATTGTTTCTGCAAGGTGGCTTGAGCTCTAAATGCATGCGAAAAGGCGCTTAACCATATTTATCCCAAGTTGTGTGCTGGGTATGTAGTGTTCAGTGTAATGCTAACATTAGCTATGCCTACTTACTGTGTTTTGTTCAAAACCTGCTGTGCTGACTAACATGGGAATAGAACAGCTCGTTTTTCTGATGACTCTTTTCGTGTGATTGCCTTTTAACCAGAGGATCAGAAACTTTTTCATTCCCCTTTTTCTGATCTTACCACACAGGTTACTGATGAGATATTCCTGGAGTTATAACCACGGGTGACTGTTATAAAAATGGAGTCAGGAAAACCCTTGCCGTGAAATCCTCATGTGTGTGCGGGACGAACTGAAAACATTTCTCCCGACATACCATTACTACGGGCTTTAAGTGGGAGAGCTGTCATTCTTTACATATGATTGCAGCTCATATGACTGCCGGTCGTCAGTCACGTAATCCAAGTAAGTGAGGAGGCATACATTATGTGAAATCTAGTAATGAAGTTTGCTGATCGTTGTCATGTTTTGCACAATAACGTACTTTGCAGCAATCAGCTCTCATACACCATTTGCTGCTGACGTACTGGTGGCCATAGAAACCGTCCTGGGTAGGATGGGAGCTCCGCAGTCCTTCAGAATGTTGAGCACGTCCGTCAGGATCTTCTCCAGCGCAGTGTCGATGTCGGTGTGTCCGTGCTCGGCCGACTCGATGTCCTTGATGAGCGTGTCAATGTCAGCCTCTGCAGCCTTGATCTGGTCATCAGTCAGACCCAGCACCGGCCCCAGGGACTCGAGCCCCTTGGTTAGAAGACTCTCCAGCTGAGTCAGCAGGCCGTCCAGATCGGTCGGTGTGTCGTCAGCTGTGGACAAGGAGCGTGGAGCTGATGCATTGGTACCCTAAATGGAACTCAGCAATGGATACATGAGCTAAGCATCCAGTTTGTAGGTGCTGTCTCAAAACCACGCAATCGCATACGAATGGTGATTTTAAAGCTCGTGCTACCACTTTCTTCGTCATCACTGAACTGCTGACATGAACGTTATGAGCAGACATGACCAACGGTCATTCACTACTCACTGGGATTGGTAGTATCGATGCCCAGGGCTCTCAGGATCTCGATGATGTCGGTGACCATGTTCTCGAGTCCGGTGGAGATGTCAACGGTGCCGTGATTTAGAGCCTCGCAATCGGCCACAAACTTGTCAAAGTTGGAGATGACGGCATTGACCTGATCCTCTGTCAGACCGATGATCGGTCCCAGGATCGGCAGGTACTTGTCCACGAGGGCTTTCAACTCCTCCAGAAGCTTTTCAACGGGGCTCGGCTCAGCTGCAACGCATGATATGGTGCGTGAAATCAGGACCCAATTTGTACCAAGGCTCTTGAGTTTACACCAGTCTACGTTTTGCATGAGCAATGTCCGACTTGCCGCTCGGCAAACACTGTTGTAATTATCTCTGCCCAAGAGCAGACGACGAGAGTGCACGCATGACGGAGGAAAAAAAACATGATCTCTATAGTGCTCCAAAAAATGTAATCCCTTAAAGTGTTGCTGCAGCAACTCATTAGTCTGTATTGCAGAGTCGATCTGTTGCTGCATGCTTTGTGCCATGCTGGGGGGAATTTGCCATTGTCATTGTTGCGCAAACAGTTACAGAACCGTTTCTTATCAGCATGCATCCTTACTTGAACCGAAGCTCGAACGCCAAGGATACAATCACAACGCTACTTGATCCGATATCATTTATAGCTACCAGATCGTTCATCCATCTTGGGAGAGGTAAGCAACGCGCAATTTAGTACATGCGGGGTGCACGAATCACCTTCGAAACCTTCGAACATTCGAAAAATTAAAAGCATACATGCATATCAGCTAAAATGGCCCAATAATGCGTCGTTATACATGCCGGCGAGTGCGCACTTGAATCAATTTTTATATACACACGTGTAGACTGCCTACCAATCAGTTTTACGAATGCCCACTTCCTGGCGCTAGCATCCACACTCAACCAGCAATAGCCTTTCGCTGAGCTGGTCGGGCCCACAGAGAATGACCAGCATGAGCAACGCGTTAATTTGATGAAAATGATTGATTCTGCAAGGTGGCTTGAGCTCTAAATGCATGCGAAAAGGCGCTTAACCATATTTATCCCAAGTTGTGTGCTGGGTATGTAGTGTTCAGTGTAATGCTAACATTAGCTATGCCTACTTACTGTGTTTTGTTCAAAACCTGCTGTACTGACTAACATGGGAATAGAGCAGCTCGTTTTTCTGATGACTCTTTTCGTGTGATTGCCTTTTAACCAGAGGATCAGAAACTTTTTCATTCCTCTTTTTCTGATCTTACCACACAGGTAGCTGGTAAAATATTCCTGGAGTTGTAACCACGGGTGACTGTTATAAAAATGGAGTCAGGAAAACCCTTGCCGTGAAATCCTCATGTGTGTGCGGGACGAACTGAAAACATTTCTCCCGACATACCCTTTCTATGGGCTTTAAGTGGGAGAGCTGTCATTCTTTACATATGATTGCAGCCTATATGACTGCCGGTCGTCAGTCATATAATCCAAGTAAGTGACGAGGCATACATTATGTAAAATCTAGTAGTGAAGTTTGCTGATCGTTGTAATGTTTTGCACAACAACGTACTTTGCAGCAATCAGTTCTCATACACCATTTGCCGCTGACGTACTGGTGGCCATAGAAACCGTCCTGGGTAGGATGGGAGCTCCGCAGTCCTTCAGAATGTTGAGCACGTCCGTCAGGATCTTCTCCAGCGCAGTGTCGATGTCGGTGTGTCCGTGCTCGGCCGACTCGATATCCTTGATGAGCGTGTCAATGTCAGCCTCTGCAGCCTTGATCTGGTCATCAGTCAGACCCAGCACCGGCCCCAGGGACTCGAGACCCTTGCTTAGAAGACTCTCCAGCTGAGTCAGCAGGCCGTCCAGATCGGTCGGTGTGTCGTCCGCTGTGGACAAGGAGCGTGTAGCTGATGCATTGGTACCCTAAATGGATCTCAGCAATGAATGCATGAGCTAAGGATCCAGTTTGTAGGTGTTGTCTCAAAACTACGCAATCGCATACGAACGGTGATTTTAAAGCTCGTGCTACCACTTTCTTCGTCATCACTGAACTGCTGACATGAACGCTATGAGCAGA